TAATTCTTAAAGTCCCCCCCCTTTTACACTTTTATAGCTGTTTGTGAATGTTGCAGACCTTTAAAGTTTGTGATAAATAAAGTTATTGTCTCCTAAAAGAAAGATCTGATTCTGAACTGCCTGAAACGAGTTGTCAGTAATTAGTCAAACCCGACCAATTATCCTGACTAATCACGGATTGGAAGGGTGTTAAGAGAAACTGAATCCTTTCTCGAACCGTGTCAGACATGAGATGCTGCAATGTATTATAAGAAAATTAAAGTGTTTTTTGGCCATGGATGCATGTAAACCTGTTGTATAAGACCTGAATGCAAAATTAGGAACCCTTAAAATAGCATAATTGGGACAACTTCCTTAAAACCAGTTTTATAATTTCGATTGTATTGAGCAGACGATTAAATTGAATGAAGATGGGTGCTTATGAGTAAAAAAACACCATGAAAAGTGGTCTATATGAATCTAAACAATACATTCCAGGTCTTATGAAGCGCCATGATAGCTTTATGTGAAATTTGAGTGCACTACCTATACTGGCTATTTTTATGGTGCTTATTTGTCCCTTTTGAAGCTTGACCGCTGAATATCTGTCACTGTGCTTTTGCTGCAAGTAAAAGAAAGCAATTGACTTATTCTAATCCATTATTTTGTCCCAAGATGCACATCAGTAATGTTTTTGTTTTATAAAAACTACTTAAATGGCCTAGCCTGTGAAATCAGGCCTTAATGTTTTAATGGTTGTAATCATATTACTCTAGATACTATCATGTTTCCTTCTCTTTCAGGCATTATCTAGTACGTGGCCCTGAGAAAACTCCATATGAAGGTGATTCCCTCTTTAAATTTCACATTAGTGCTTCCCTTTTAAACTGCCTTGTGCAATATCAGCTTCATTTTGACTTGTCTTTTGTTTTTCGTAGGTGGTTACTATCATGGCAAACTGATTTTCCCAAGGGAATTTCCCTTCAAACCACCTAGTATATACATGATCACACCCAACGGCAGATTTAAATGTAATACAAGGTAAAGAAAATGTTATTTTCTTTTCCTAAATGAAGGCCCTTACTAAGGGCATTACACAATCCTGAGTGCCTTATTGTTGCGATGAAATGTTTACAATATATATATATTTAAAAAAAAAAAAGTATTTGAGCAAACTCTTGAGTTTATTTTAAATAGTGTTCATGTAGACCATTTTGCAAGATGTAAACAACACTGGTCCAGAAACACTTCCTGTTTCAGTTTGTAATTGTTTTCTTTATTTCACATGTAAAGAAAACATCTTAAAGATGTTTGTTTAACTTTTTGATTCAGTTTTAAATGTTCTGTTGGTTGTATTTTATCCCAGCTTTTATGTAGTGTTAAAAAACTGAAACAGGAAGTGCTTCTGGACCAGTGTTGTTTACATCTTGCAAAATGGTCTATAGGTAGTATGAATGAAATTTGGACGCACTACATCTGTCACGTGACCTACCAGTGTCAGTTGCATCGCTTCATTAATACATTTATTAATGCATCGCTTCCATTAATAAATCCTCTCCTGTGGCCTCATGGGATTGTAAATTGTCAAGCGAATGTGCGCTTCAGAATTTCCCCAGAAGTTGTAGGTCATCCGAGCACCATCTAGTTGGAAAGTAAATGATTTCGGACACAGCGACGGATTTTATAAGTCTTTCTTGTACTCTCGAATCAGAAGAACAATACAATAACTGCATAATGACTAGCTTTCGCTTTCTCTTCCAGGTTGTGTCTTTCCATCACAGATTTTCACCCTGACACGTGGAACCCTGCGTGGTCTGTATCCACCATCTTAACTGGCCTCCTGAGCTTCATGGTTGAAAAAGGCCCGACTCTCGGCAGTATCGAAACCTCTGATTTCACAGTGAGTGTTACGCTGATTTAAAATCACAGTGAAATGCTTTAAAGGGTTAGTTCACCCAAAAATGAAAATTCTGTCAGTATTTACTCACCCTCATGTTGTTCCAAACCTCTGTGTTTATTTGTTCTGCTGAGCACAAAGGAAGATATTTGGAAGAATGTTTTAATCAAACAGATCTCATTGCATTTGTATGCATTTTTTCCTACTATGGTAGTCAATGGAGAATGAGATCTTTTTAGGAAACAAATTGTACCTTCTGCTGTCTCTGTGAATGGAAGTTTTTCCTTTGTGTTTTTTGTGTACATACAGACGACAATATTGTCAAAATGATCCCCTTTGGATCCGCAAAAACGACTAAATATGCTGTATTATGCTGCCAGGCCAGTAGTTGGCAATGTCACTTGGCTATGTAAAGAAACACTATGCGCTTAGACTAAACATGTATTATATAAATGCACATGACATCTCAAAAACTGAAAACTTTATATGGCATTTCGGGGGCCTGAAAAAATCTACTAGTCGTGTAAATGAACATTTTTAGTTGAGAGCAGTGTTGTTTAAACGGCCCCTTAATGTGAAAATCAGTCAAATCCCGTAACATGGCATTTGTTAAATGATATTAAAATCGTAAAAGAGGTCTTGCCGTTCCCTGGATGGCCACTTTAAGTGGGATTTTTGTAGGGCTGGAGTTGACAGAAATTGTTTGGATATACAAAATTGGGCATTGAATTCAGAATTTGTGAAATAATTCAAAATAGAGAGTTTGTAATTTTATTTTACTTAGAAAATGTTCTTGAAATGTGCATGAACATAAGTTGGCAAGATCAGTTTTAATGGCGTGTTTGTTTGAATGTGTTCCCTGCAGAAAAGACAGTTGGCGTCCCAGAGTCTTGCATTCAACATCAAGGACAAAGTCTTCTGTGAGCTGTTTCCAGATGTTGTTGAAGTAAGTGCCAGACTTCCTCACTGATGTATGCATGAGCAATAAGCACGTTATTTCAACAATTGTGTTCATACTTGATCCCGTTCGTCCCCCATGAAACAGGAAATCAAGCAGAAGCAGCGTATGCAGGAAGAGCTCCGGTCTCGCTCACAGGCGCTGCCCCTCCCTGACGTGGTGCCGGATGGCGAAGCCCATCACGCTCAAAACGGCCACCTGCCCCTGAACGGGCACCTGCCCCCGGGTGCGGCACACCCGCCCGACCTCCAGCAGGTCAACCGTAACCATGGACTCCTGGGTGGAGCGCTCGCGAATTTGTTCGTCATTGTAGGCTTCGCCGCTTTCGCCTACACGGTCAAGTATGTTCTGCGGAGCATCGCGCAGGAATGAATCGCCCAATGAGAACCATCGATAGGACAGAGGAAAGGCTGGTGCTGTTCTCACGACCAAATAAAACGAAGCAGTGTCCTGTTAATAAAATTGAGAGCTTGGTGATTTCCTCCATAGTGGTGACGACCAGATCTCGTGTAACACGGCCACTTAAAGGTCAAGGTCACATGAACGGATGGCTTTATTGATATGTGAGGAAATAAAATAAAAAAAGTAAATTTTCTACCTTGCAGTTCCCAAATGAAGCCAACTTCATGTGACCATGAAATTAACCAGAGTGGGCTTTTTTTAAGGCCTGAATCAGCATTTGTTGTTTTACATGTTTCTCATTGATCTGTAAGATTTTAAAATCTGCGCATTTAGTATGCTGGGTTTTTATGTGGAAGATTAAACGAGAAAAAAAAGTCAGAACATTCCTCAAAAACGAAAGGAAAAAAGCGTTCTGAAGCGTGTCGCACCACTTATTGCTGTGACGCAAATCCCAGAGTATTTTATGTAATGGAAATGGCTCGACTGTAAACACGCTTTACCGATGGAATCTTGTTCTTAAACGCATTTGTGCTCGCTTACGCTACGCCAACCGTAACAACAAGCCGGGAAAGAAGCGGTGTGAAATGAATTATTTGTCTTCTGTTTGTCTGTGATGCGGCGCTCCAAGTGTAAATTAACTTTCTTTCAGAGGGGAGTCACTGTCGGCTGAGAGAAAAGTATATGAATTCATTTTTTTTTTAGGCCGTGCAACACTATAAATTGTTTTTGTGCAATATGTAGGATTGTCAGCACTACTTGGCTTTCACGATACACAGCACTTCTTTTGTTTCCAAGGGTTGTGATTTTATGCAATAATTCTTAATAAATTGAAAAATCCATTTAATTCTTGTTATAAACATAGGTGAATATGCATTCAATTCTTACATTTCCTGTTATACTGTAAGATCTTTGGTGGTTTTTATTAGGAAAAGTACCTCGGGTTGCAGAAGTCATTCACAGTGGAGACTTGCTAGTCAAAGTCTAGATTGCGGAGACTTAGCTGCATGGCAAAACATCTCTTTCTGGGTCAGAACGGTCGTGTCGCTGCTCATTCTGACTCGGGAGGGAATTACTACTCATTATTGTACCAGTATGTTCTGGTCTCCCCTAATTCAAGTGTTCTGATGTCCCGATAGTAGCAGTAATATGTTTTTCAGCACCTCCATGGACACTGTTGATCAATATCCTTTCCTTTAGAGGGGCGTGTAATCAGAGATAGTCATGTTGTGTTTACATTTTGAATAAATAATATTCTATTAAAGAAGGCAGTCGGACATTTGTGATTCAACAGTTCTTGCATTTGTCAAAATTTTGAAAACATAACTATTTTTTAATGTTTTATTGTCTCATCCAGCCTGTATTTATTTGATCAAAAATACTGAAAAAAACCTAATGTGATATATTATTACAATTTAAAATAATAATGGTTTTCTTTTTTATTAAAATATAATCATTCCTGTGATCAAAGCTGAATTTTCATCATAATTTCTTGATAAATCATTATAATATGCTGGTTTGCTGCTCTCTCGTATTACTTTCAATGTTGGAAACAGTTACGCTGTTTCTAAATGCTAAATCTTTACTATTACTTTTTATCAATTTAACACATTCTTGTGTGTTTTTTAAAGATCTATCTATCTATTTATATCAAAAGATAACACAGTTTAAATGCTTTTTGTTGTTGTTACGGACAAGTCTGACCCACTGATTTACACGTCACGTGACCCGCGTCCGGCCAATCAGTGCTCGAGCTCACATCCCGGAAACGGTGCCCGTTTGATGTCATACAGTCCTCTCCAGGTCTCAATCATATTTCTGTTCGCTGTCCTTGTGGAATATTAATGTGTAACGATGGTGTCGACGGTGCGTCGGACTGTGTGTAATGTTATTAGACACCTGGAAGATCGTCGGCTCTAATAAAGCGATGTTTTTACGGAGGAACTAATTGATAAGAAAAGAAAAAACAATGAGGCCTAATGGGAAAGATGAAGAACAAGTGTCAAGCTGAGGAATTCAACACACAACAAGTGAGCTGCAAAGATTCACGAAGACAGTAAATGTGAGGTTTTATGAATGCATGCAACACGTCAGGTTGTATTTACGCAGCCAGTGAAATCTTTGACACCGTCACGTTGGCTGGGAACTGTAGACATGTTTGACTCTCACAATGAAAGTTGAATAGTTTGTTTGTGCTACATTTGTCGCTACCACACCTCTTTTTTTTCTTTCTTTTTTCTTTTTATCAAACAGTTGCAACCATATCCATGACAACCCCTCCCTGGCCACAGCCGTTTCTATAGCAACCACCCTGGATCACCTAGCTAGAGCGGTTGCTATGGCAACGGACGTTGGAATTGTACTTGTTTTATCTGTGTAGTCAGACATACCTTAAAACTGCAGTCATACAGACAATGACTTGAAATCATCTCTTAAAGTGAAAAATTTAGGTGGCATGAATCACGTAACTGAAAATTGTAAATAAAAAGTTGAAATTCTTGGAAAAAGTTTTGACAAATGACATTTGGCATAATATTATTATTATTTTGTTATTTCTTAAGTGAAGCACTTATGTTTTAAAATAATAATAGATTAAAAACTTTAAACAACTAACTTGTTTTCAGTAAAATCGTTCAACTTTTTTTAAACTCAACGTTTAGTTCAAGTCAAATGGAGTCACCTTATGAAAACCTATTTAAATTTGTTAAAAAATATTTTTTTTCCATAAACTTCATAAATATTAAAATAACAAAATAATTATACAAATATAAGTGCATTTTAATTATTTTATGTAATTAAAAACTGAAGTTATTTAAAAAAAAGAAATTGCTGCCATACAGAAAATTGGATTTTTCTTTATTTTTGAACATTTTGATATTTTGTGAAGAAATAAAGTGAAAAATATTTAGGAGGTATAAATGTCACTGAAAAAAAAATCTAATTAAAAAGAAGTTTAGCAGGGGAGCAGTTTTGTTTTAAATACTAATATTTAAAATCAATCACATCATTATCATAGCATAACCAACATACATAAGCCTTATTGTCGTTTTATTCGCATCAAATTAAGTAACCCTAAGAAAACATCTTTATATTTCTTTCTCAAACATTCATAATTTTAAAAGTTTTTGAAAATAATTAGGTTTTGCATGGTGCAAGGAAATTATTTTATAAACGTTCTTTTCTCTTAACTTTTCTAGGCATGTCCTCACAAATGCAAGCGTTTTCCTCTCCCTCCGTGTCCTCCAGTGGCCTGTCCCGCTCCAAAAAACTGAAGGTGGAAAACCATGTATGGAACGTGAGCAGCCAATCAGGCGAGAGCAGCTACTACCAGAACAGCCCGAACCAGACGAATGGCTCTTCCCCCTCCACGTCTGGATTCAACCCCAATTACAACTCCTCCAGCCTGGTGTTTCCTCCTGGAGGCTCGCGGGAACAGACAGTGGTACGTGCCGCGGATAGCACCGGCAGCGTCCCGGAGCCTTCATCCTCCTCATCATCATCGTCCACATCCAGTCAGCGTGGAAAAGAGGAGGGCTCCACCTCTCTGACAGGCGAGGGCTATCAGAAAGCAGGCAGTCGGAAGCGGAAGAGCGAGGAGGTGGACAGCAGCGACAGCGTGCAGATTTTGGAGGAGCTCTCGGCTCCTGTGCTCCCCAACCGCGTGGCCGGAGGTGGAGGCAACGCCACGGCCCAGTCCATCGCTCATTCCACGTCCACCACCAAGAGCAGCAACTCCCACAGTGAGGGCGACTACCAGCTGGTGCAACACGAGATCCTCTGCTCCGTCTCCAACAGCTACGAGGTTCTGGAGTTCCTCGGCCGGGGGACATTCGGACAGGTGGCAAAATGCTGGAAGCGTGGAACCAATGAGATCATGGCCATTAAGATTCTCAAGAATCATCCGTCATATGCCCGCCAGGGTCAAATAGAGGTGAGCGGCTAACCGGAATTAAAACTTTTCCCAAATTATTGTATATTAGTGAGTAAAATGAAGTTCCTTTGTTCCTCTGAGTAAAAGTGAAAAGTCTCAACAAGAAATAAATAACCTGTCGCAATTGAGGGAGATATAAAGAAGAAAAGGTTCTATTTAGAACCTTAAAAGGTTCTATTAGCGCTACGTATTTGGAACCCCTAAAAGGTTCCTCTGGGTTCTATATAGAACCCTGGGGTTCCATACTTGGCCAATAGAACCTTTTACCAAAAAAATGGTACTATATAGAACCACTTTGGAGTTTGGAGTTATGTTCCATAATGGAACCATTTCTGGTTCTAAATAGAAGCATTTCTTCTAAGAGTGAATTGCAATATAAAGTGGAGAAATTCTTCTAATCGTGAGATATACAGTCGGAATATTAAGAAATAGTTGCAATCGTGAGATATACAGTCAAAATATCATGAAATAGTCAAAATTGTATAAGATATAAGGGGGAGTACGAGAAATAGTAGCAGTTTGAACAGACTTCCATGACAAAATCTGTCATATCTCTCAATCATGTGCTTGATGTTAATTTGCTTAAAGGGATCATCGAATGCCCATTTTCCACAAGTTGTTATGATTCTTAAGGGTCTTCTTGTAAAGTTTGTAACATACTTTATGTACTATTCCTCAACAGTTGTGTAAAACACCCTTTTTACCCCCTCAAAAACAGCGACTTGTTTTGGTGCATGTCTCTTTAAATGATAATGATTTAAAAATAAGTTTAATTTGAACTCAATCCTGTCTTTTTAAAGGTGAGCATCCTCAGCCGTCTTAGCACAGAGAACGCAGACGAGTTCAACTTTGTGCGCTCTTACGAGTGCTTCCAGCACAAGAACCACACGTGTCTGGTGTTTGAGATGCTGGAGCAGAACCTCTATGACTTCCTCAAGCACAGCAAGTTCAGCCCGCTGCTCCTCAAATGCATCCGGCCGGTCCTGCAGCAGGTTTCCACGGCTCTGATGAAGCTGAAGAGTTTGGGTCTCATCCACGCTGATCTGAAGCCTGAGAACATCATGCTTGTGGACCCCATTAGACAGCCCTACAGAGTCAAAGTCATCGACTTCGGTTCAGCCAGTCACGTCTCGAAGGCCGTGTGCTCAACCTACCTGCAGTCTAGATACTACCGGTGAGGGATACTTGATGTCAAAATTAACTGACAGTTGAAGTACATTTACATTTGTGCATTTAGAAGACGCCAGGAGTCCAGGTTGTGTGCAGTACATGTAAATTGTGACCAATAAAACATAATTATTTTAATGTTACAGACTACATAAAATTGCTAACGTTATAAATACTGTTCAAAAAATACAAATAAAATAAATAAAAAAATATTCATAAACCAAAATCTATTCGGCAGAAACTATTTTTCTGGTTTTATACGGTTTTACAAGCTTCCAAAGCCAGTCATTATTAATAATTTTAAGATATCATAATTTATTATGCATAAATAGCTGTTAATTTCTCATATTGTTGGCTACCGATATTGAACTCTATACGTCTATTGTTCCCAATAATTTGTAATGGTCAGCTGATATACATTTTTTCTGATGGCATTAATTCTAATATATGATATACAGTATAACAAGATATTTAGATAACATAGCTCAAATTAAATATACTAATATAATATATGAATAATTAATTTGAAATTCACTCAAATATTCACTGAAAAATCTCTTTGTGTAAATTACACAAATTGAACATTTGGAGGATAATCATAAAATGGCTAAACAGCAAGAAAATGTCAATATCAAAGATCGATATTATAATCTGTCGACCACCTTCCCTGTCATTCTCCCAATTGATTCATTAGTTTATTATAATTTAATGTTAGTTTCTCTGTTGTGCTGCAGAGCTCCTGAGATCATTCTGGGACTTCCCTTCTGTGAGGCCATTGACATGTGGTCACTGGGTTGTGTCATCGCTGAGCTGTTTCTGGGCTGGCCTTTGTATCCGGGAGCTTCAGAATATGATCAGGTCAGTAATAAGGTTTTGTTGCTTTGATTTAATCAGTTCTGTGCAAAATCAATTCGTTTTGTGCAAAATTGAAATGAGAAAGCTATCAGTAGATTTAGGAAGTGATACAAGGGGGCTCTAACACTTCTACTAAGGAGTCTCACAACGGTCATTACTGGCAGATATATCAGGCTACGATCAGACTGCAGGTAAATGTGTCCCAAATCCGATTTTTTGCTCATATGTGACTCAGATCTGTTTGTGTCATGACAGTGTAAACATCACAAACCACATGGAATCTGATCGTTCTGTTGTGGTCCTAAATCCGACACAGGTCTGATGTTTTGCTACGCGACCTCAGTCTGAACAGTCATATCAGAATTCATGCAAGTTTTACATCATCACTCTAGAGCAACATTCGTCACAATTCTGCACTCATGGGAAGTGGAATCTGATATTGGCCACATTTAAAACAACAATGTGAACAGATGTACAAAAAACCCCCGGATGAGCAATAAATCAGAATTGAGCATTAATAGTTGTGGGCCTTAAGCACAATTTTCCTATTAAAGTGCGCAATTTCCTATAAAATTTTAAGCGCAAAATCCTATAAAAGTGCCAAATTTGGCACAGATGTAGCTCACATCATACTGAAATGATTTAGCTAGGGCGCCGGAGCCAGTGACCCTCAGGGCCAAGATGGTGGCCAAATCCAATATGGCCGCTGCCCAGAAAAGGGTTCCTGCTATAACTTTTGAACCATATGAGTTATAAATACAAACTTGATATGTTTTTCAGTTTAATTGAGCATGGGAAACACATAGGAATGTTTATATTTATGACCCTGTATATCTGGACCCTTTGATCCTCCAATTCCAAGATGGCTGCTCCCCAAAAAAGCATTTTGAGCTGTAGTATGGGGCCTTACACCCCATTGTTGGGGTAATTGGAGGATCAAGGGGTCCAGATATACTGGGGTATAAGCTACATGTTATATATATATGCCTGGTTGTTTTTTCTACAGTTTCGGTACATTTCCCAGACTCACTTGTCATGGCACAAATAACAATTATGGACTAGTTATCTGTCACTGGATACACTACTTAGCTACAACAAACTGTTTACAGTGTGTCCATCTGTGAGGAATGGGTGTATAACTTACATGTAATATATATGCCTGGTGTTTTTTTTCTACAGATTCGGTACATTTCCCAGACTCAAGGTTTGCCAGCTGAGTATCTCCTGAGCGCTGGCACTAAAACCAGCCGTTTCTTCCACAGGGGTCCAGACTCCAGCTACCCTCTCTGGAGACTCAAGGCATGTCCCCCTTAAAGCACTGCTGTTTATCTTACTTTCTAAGACATCAGAGGTCAATAGATGATTAAACGCTTTCCTGAAGGATATGTTTCTGTTTTTAGACTACCGCAGAGCACGAGACAGAGTTTGGGATAAAGTCCAAAGAGGCTCGGAAATACATTTTTAACTGCCTTGATGACATGATGCAGGTAGTGCTGTGTCTACAGTAAGGTCTGATTATTATAAAGGGTCGGAGCCGATAGCCTTGTATACGACACTCCGACATTACAGTAATATTTCACATTATTGGGCATATTTTAGATCAGATAAATGCATCCTTTGTAAATACTTCCTTATGACACATAGTCCCTTGACTCCAGGTCAACATGACTAACCTGGAAGGCACGGACATTTTAGCGGAGAAGGCTGATCGGAGGGAGTTCATTGACCTGCTAAAGAAAATGCTAACACTAGACGCAGACAAGAGGATCACGCCCACGAAGACCCTCAACCACCCGTTTGTGACTATGGCTCACCTACTTCACTTCCCACACAGCTCTCAGTAAGCCCTGCTGATGAGTTGATTATCTACAAATAATGTATATAGAATAGCCACATCTTTGTCTGTACTCCGCTGAGGACACTAACCTCAGTGCCGCCCTCTCTTGTGCAGTGTGAAGTCCTGCTTCCAAAACATGGAGATCTGCAAGCGCAGGTGTACAGCTTTCGACAATAACAAGAACCTGTTCGCCAGCCACAACACACCCAGCGCGGCCGCCAACCTCACGGTCACCTTCAGCAGTCAACTCAATCAGCACAGTCAGGTGTGTGCTACTGCACGGATGCATTACATCACATTTCATTCGTTTGCAATGCATTTGGATTCAGTATGTTGTTTGTAGTGTAATAAGCTAAGAATATAGTAATCCATGTGTGTGTTAAAGCCATAGTTCACCTAAAAAGGACAGTTCTGTCATCACCCTCATGACGTTCCAAACCCGTACGCCGTTTTATTCTGTGAAAGACAATGATTTTTGATGGAGCTCTTTTCCATACAATGTCAGTTTATATTGGCCATGTCTGTTAAATCTCCAAAAATGACCAAAATGACCTCGCGCAAGTCTTCTGAAATGATATGACTGCTGACCATTTGTGAACCACTGCAACCGAATCAGTGAGTTGAGAATCTTTGAACCGATTGAAGCGAATATTGAATTGAACAAAAGCGTCCTTCACAAATCAGACTGATCTGGACCTCAAGTTCAACTCAATGACATTCAGTTCTCGAGTTAGCAGGTCAAAGGAGGGAAAGATTACTGGTGAATTAGAATAAAACTTTGCTCTGTTCCTCACACAAAGTTATCGTATTACTTCAGAAGACTTGAGATATAGCAGTGTTATTTTAGTATTTTTTATATACTATTGGATTAATATTTTGAATGAGCTTTTATTTGTAATATTTTCACTTTTCTGAGATTTCTGTTCTGTGCTTTAGTAATTTTTCTTATATTATTATCTTCAAAATCTTAGTTTTCTTTCTTTTTTATAAGTAATTCAACTTAAAAGGTGAAACTAATATATTTTATCGACTCATTACATGCAAAGTGAGATATTTCAAGCCTTTATTTGTTATAGTTTTGATGATTATGGCTTATAGCTTATGAAAACCCAAATTCAAAATTAGAATATTGTGAAAAGGTTTTCATAAGCTGTAATCCATAATCATCAAAACTATAACAAAAAAAGGCTTGAAATATCTCACTTTGCATGTAATGAGTCTATATAATATATTAGTTTCACCTTTCAAGTTGAATTACTGAAATAATTGAACTTTTACACGATATTCTAATTTTTCGAGTTTCAATTGTAGTGCACAAGTCATATGTCAACTAACTTATATGTGGTTGATTTGTTCATTTTTGAAGTTTGGCAGACATGGTCACTATGAATTGTCTGAATAAAGAGGTTTGGATCAACGTGAAGGTGAGTATATATTATAAGTGTAGTATGCATGCTATATTAAGGTCTTCAGTGCTATTTCTGTGCTTAGTCGGTGGTGTTAAGAATCTCCCTCTCTCTCTCCGTAACTGGCAGATGGCCTCCACGGGGGGCCAGTCCCTGTCTCTTAGCAGCAACGTTCCTTTACTCAACTACCAGCCTGGTCTGTACCAGCAGGCCACTATAAATATACCAGGCTTGGCTCAGCAGAGTGTGCCGTTGCAGGCTCGCCCTACTCAGCTGTGTGCCCAGACAGAGCCCTTCCAGCAAACCCTCATTGTGTGCCCTCCCACCATCCAGGGTGAGCCTGTACCCTACCCCGTTCACCCAATCCAGCTACAGCTTTGTCCAAACCCGCTTCTCCCTACATCCAACCCTCCTTTCCTTTAGACTCATGCTGCTTCCAAATGCATTTGAACTGAATCACTCGTGTTTACTTCACCAGGACTGCAGACCTCCAATAAACACGCTGGATTTCCAGTGAGAATGGACAACTCGGTACCCATAGTGCCCCAGAACCAATCCACCCAGCCCCTACACATTCAGCCCAGCATGCTCACGCAGGTAAGCACCGTGTTTGTGTGTCCACGAGCGAATAGTGTGTCACTATTCTTGTGATTCCCTCCCTTTTAATACGTTGGTTTTTAGGATTAAGTGTTTGGTTTTACCAAATCATTATATTCCTCTTTAATTTGAAGAATAACAGTGAAGACTAAAAACAAAAGGGACTGTTGTTTTGGGTCCTTTTCAGCGTCTCAAACCATGTGTCCCGTGGACTGTAAACACTGTCTTTCCATAAAAATATGATCATCAGCTGGGATTTACATAAAATTTGATCAAACCAGGATCATCTCATATGAACGCTGCATTTTCTCCATTTCAAATATTCTAGGGATGCACGAAATATCGGCCACCATATCGGTATTTAATGTTATCGCTATCGGCCCGATAAGAAAATGTGGTCGATATATTAAAGCCAATAATTAATGGATAATTTCCTTCAGCTGAGACACTTAAGATATGCACCGTTTGCCATGATGGATTTTAATTGCTTGAAATATGATTGGAATCACTTGCAAGAATGAAAATACAGGAGGCAAGGCAAGGCAAGTTTATTTATAAAGCACATTTCATACACAATGGCAATTCAAAGTGCTTTACATAGAAGAAATTAAAATAATCAAAAGAAATCAGAATAATTAAAACAGTTTAGAATAAAAAATAAGAAATAATGAAAAATAAAAATTATGATAAAAATAAAATACAGTAAATTAAGCCCTTCCAGCAAGAGCAGCACATGGGCTACATAAACTGATAATGAGAACATTGTAATTGTGTGTTTGGGACATGGCTTTTAATGGTGAAACCTTTGTTTTGATTTTGATTTAGATTTATCGGCCAAATGTATCGGTTATCGACTTTCAAACATAAAGAATTATCGTATCGGCCAAAATTTTCACATCGATGCATCCTTAAAATTGATCTGTTGTAGTTACAGTTTCTGTTCATATGCAGATTTGCTGCTCAAGAAACGTTCCTTATTATCATCAATATTGAAATCAGTTGTCCTGCTTAATATTTTTGTGGAAACCATCCTTAAAAAAATAGGGATTTTTTTTTTGATGAAAACTCAGGCCAAAACTACATAATTTGTATGAAATTTTTGTAACATTACAAATGATTTATAAAAATAACACAATATTACACCAGAAATGTGTCTGTATTGATATATTAGTAGTTAAACTAATTTCAATACTGACTAAAACGTCTTGTGTATTTTAAACTTGCGGTTACCCTGTTGAAGTTAGTTGAATGTGCCCCAGCCTGTTTAACTGTCATTTTTGATCAATTTAATATGTCCTTGCTCAATATGAGTATCCATTTCTACTGCAGGGTTCCTCAAACACAACCCAGCCACAACATTTTAACGCTAGTGTATTTTCAGTGAGTTTGAAAGATCTCTGAATGGAAATGGAAAGGGTGGGACTTCTGCGACTAGTGATTTGCTGGCTTTACTGATCTGTTTTGTACTTGTTGTCAATATTTTCTTCATTTGGTGGAAAGTCTTTGGGCGAGTTAATTTCTCCCTCCGCTCAGCCGGCATGTTGTAACCGTTCCACCCTTTCCTCCATCCTCAGTTCCTCCACACATCCCTCTATCCCTTCCCCAACCAGAGCAGCAGCAACACCCCGCTGGCGCTGGCCTCCCTGCGCCTTCCAGTGGCGGGAATGACGCCGCTGGGCTCCCGGCGTCTGGAGCAGAGTGCCACCATGCTGGTAAACCTGCGCCCTGCCATGAGACACGCCTAGTTCCTCTTCTTTCTCACTATTTTTCTCTTACATTCTTTGCATTTTTAGGCTAAACTTGGGTTGCACACAAAAATATGTGACCACCAATCAGCAATCAACATGACTTTTATGAAGTGGTTCATCTAAAAGAACGGTAACCAGTTTGAATCAGCTGATTGAAATCTTCACTGAATCAGACAAAGAGGCTCCTGAATCATCTAACTCACTCAATTGAAAGTTATCATTACTTTTCAGTGATGTCTAAATTTAATTCAGTGTCAGTATTGACTAGTTGCTCTTGTAGATGCAGATTTGCAAGTTATTTTTTAATAAATGCTATTTTAATGACCCTGTGTGACCACAAAAGCAGTCTTGAAATTGAGATTCAGAATCACCTTTAAAGTTGTCCATTTATGTTTGCGTTTGTGCTGCATTCACTCACTAAAATAAATGTTTTATATATTTACGGTTGGAAATTTACAAAATATCTTCATGGAACATGATCTTTAACTAATATCCTAATGATTTTTGGCATAAAAGAAAAATCCTATTGCTATATTGCCACAAATATACCTATGACCTAAAGTGTCATAGGTATCTATTGACGTTATGAAAGGAAAATACTAAAAGAATTGATGTGATTTGCTATTTTGAGGGTTTTTTTGGGTGGAAAGTGGCTGTTTTAGTTTCGTTCTCTTCTTTCTTCACCTATCAATCATGATTTAACAAGGCGGCTTTTCTTTTGGACTGGAGCTGCATCTCTTGTGGGCCCCAGGGCTCTATCCAGTGAAGCATGGCTGCTTGACTCTGTGCAATCCGAATGATTTCTCTTTCCACAGACCCACTCTTGTGGCAACAAATGTCTCCCCATTGTCTCATTCTCCTTTTTCTTCCTCTGCTAACCAGTCACTTCCTTTCTATGCAGATAAATGGACTGGCAACCGTAACTCGTCACTTGTTTTGCTTTGGTGATCACTCGAGTTAAATTCCCTGCTCAATTGTTATAGTTTTCTTTCGTATCTTTCTGATCTGTTCAAATCATGATTTTTCGTTTTGACTCCCATGAAGGATTCACAATTATTCAAGCTACATAATTGAAACTGACTTTATTACTCTTTTGTTTTTTGTGTTTTTAATGAAGTTCTTCTGCATGATTTTAAGAGCTTGCAGGACAAGATCCTTTTTTTCACGTATGACAGGAAGAGATCGAACAAAGACAGACTGAGTGACGCCACGGTGCTCATTATTCATCTGTCAATCAAAGTGCATCAACATCTTAAGCCCTGTTTGCACAAAGAGTAAACAATCACTTGCATAAAAGAGTAATATGAAAAGCAATTGTTGATGAAATAGGAATTATGTAATGCATATGTATACTATACCCACCAATCATCATTCTATTACAAAAGCCTTGCTATTATTGATAAAAGGCCACCTCTGTTGTAAATTCAGTTTATTGAATCACAGTTTGCATTAAAGGGATACTCCACCATTTTTTTCATATAAAAATATGAAGAGTTCAGATGCAAAAGCCTCTAAGTGCCATTTGAAATTTTCTTCTCGAATGATAATTTTTATCAAGCTTGTATATTTAAGTTCAGTCATTTCACTTAAATGGCAATGATGATTACCTATTAATTGTTATTTAAGTGAAATTACTGAACTTAAATATACAAGTTTGATAAAAATCATCATTCAAGAAGAAAATTTCAAATGGCATTTAGAGGCTTTTGCATCTGAACTCTTCATATGTTATTCCCTTAACTAAGACGAGTTGACACCTGGTCTCTCGTCTCAGTGCGAGCACTCAATCTGTTCGAACTCGTCCATAAAAATGAACAAATCTTTTTCCGAGTCATTTGGTTCATTTAAGAACGGAAACGAACGAATTGACTCGGAAAAAGATTTGTTCATTTTGATGAACGAGTTCGTAAAGGAGAGTCACGAACGTGCATCATAGAACAGAGCAAGGCGAGCATTTGTGCTTATAAAACGTAAACTTTTTTTTTTATATGAGCGATCGTTTCGCTTGATAAGACCCTTATTCATCGTCTGGAATTGTTTAAAGGTCTTTGAACAGTTTGCATTTTGTACTGAAAGTGTCTTTTGGACCTTGAACCGTTTGGTTCCCACTGAAGTGCATTATATTGAGAAAAATCCTGGAATGTTTTCATCAACAATAACATAATTTAATATGAAAAAATCGTGGAGTATACCTTTAAAGCTTTTGACAGGAGTGTTTTTGGAGCGTGAACAGGCCTTGTTGCTCCAAATGAATAGTTACTAAAAAGGTTGTTTTTGGATTTGTGACCCTGTGTGTGTGTGTTTGTTTAGCAGGGCTGGCCAGCAGGCACACAGCAGATCCTCATTCCCTCTTCATGGCAGCAGATGTCAGGCATGGCCATGCACAATTCCAGCCAGACTGTGCTGTCCGATTCCCCCATGGGCTCTCTGTTCTCAGACAACACCACCCAACAGAACAGTAGCTGGAGGTCAGAACTGCCCACACAGCTGTTTACACTCGCAGTTTTACATTCCAGGTTTTGTTGCAAGCCTGGATTCAATCAACCATCGAGTTTGATTTGTGTGAAAGACTTGCTATAGTGTTGCAGTCTAGTCTGAATGCATCTGGGGTTTGCTTTACAGGTGTTTCTAACAAAGCCTGTCAAAATATGTCTGTCAGATTTCCCCTGGGGTTATTATTTAGTGCGGTCAAATCGATTAATCGCAGCACTATTATTATAACTGAAACTAAAACTAAAACCTTTAGCTAAAGCTTAAGGTTTATTTTAATATTTTATTTTATTTCAGCCAGCAACATTATCCATTTTCCCATTTAGTTTTAACTTGATGTACTAACAAAACTGAAATAAATATAAATAATAACTAAATAGACATAAAAAAACGTAAAAAAAATACTAAAACTTTGAAATTAACATGAATACAGAAAACATAAAAATGTATTATAACTGTAATATTATCTCAATGATACTAAAATAACACTGATTTCACTTCAAAATCAAAAGAAAATTCTTATTAATAAAAATATATATCAATAATATGTAGCAAGAAAAAAATATATAATTTATTATTTAATTGTTTTTGTTTGAGTTTTGAAGATTGTTTTACATTATTTGATAAGCACATTTCCCCAAATAATTTTCGTAATGAAAAAAAAATCTCATTCTCATTACTGTAAATATAAAAATGAAGACCTATTATACAAGTTTATTTTTAATTTATAAATATTTAAATAAATAAAAAAATCTATTATTTAGTGCTTATCACGATTAATCTAATCAAACATAAAACTTTGTATGTGTATGTGTATATAGATATATACAGTGTATATATAACAAACTTTATGGTAAAGAATTCAGGTGAAATATGACCTGGACATATTCTTGGCATTTTTTAATTGATTCACATGTGTGTTATTGCCTGATTACAGTGACAGCCCTTCCAGTGGTGCTCAGGATGGTGACAAAAAAAGCATTTTGCAAAAGTACTAGGTGTAAAAAAAAATGAACTGGAATAATACACCAAGCTGTTACCTGTGTTTCCAAATGTATTTCTTGTTACCCAATTGCAGGATGACAGTGTGATTTTTGTTGCTGCTGATTGTAATGTAGAACAACATGCCTCTGCCGTGAAAACTGAATTCTATGAATCGCTAATAGCTAACACAACCAATTATAATCATTCTCAAAACGGCATGCATTTAACACACTCTGCCAGGGGTCGACATGGAGGTCAGTGTGATGGGATGCAGCAGGGGCGTAACGTGAGCGCTCAGCCCTCCCACGTGGGAGCAGCCAGCAGTCGTACACAGCAGAGCGGAGTCAAGAGGTCAAAGGGTCGACGTGCTGAGAGCAGAGCCAGGTAACGCTCTTAATGAGTCTCAATATGTGCAGCCATCTCTGAATAATGTTAAATAGATGGGGGGTGGGGGCGGAAAGTTTCTTATGCTAACATATTAAAAAATCTGTTGTTAATTTCAAGTCATTTTATCTCTTATTCAACATGACATCATGACTTTTGCGTAAACATACACTTTCAAGTCATACGCATTTTGAGCTATCCGCCTGTATGCGTGTATGTCTACGCCGTTAAATGTCCGAGTAATTCCACGTGTATGTTCAAGCCGTTAAATGTCCGAGGAAAATGAAGCAAAATGTAGATCTACATCTGGGGAGCGATATTTTTTTTTCTTAGGATGGTAGGGGAAGACTCATAAATGCTATTAACCCTAGTGACGGGTAGGTTTAGGGACGGGGTTGGGGTACGTCATACATTTATATATACAGTAATGTAACGTTCATAAACACGCTGAAAAGCGATTGTGCGTGATGATACCACGCCAAAAATGGAAATACGAATTGGCGTGTCATACATACGCCATTTCATGAGATCCGTCTGTCTTATTTACCTCGCAGACCCACGTCCTCCCAGCAGCCGGCCTCTTTGGGAACGCACAACTGTGGTGAAGCGTCCCAGCCCATCGTCATCTCCGACACCCCCAGCCCTGCTGTCAGCATCATCACCATCCACAGCGACACTGAGGACGACGACGACAGGAAGTTTCCTCCTGAAAGGTGAGATCACTTTTACATCCCAACTAAAACTCTGTATTGTAGTTTGATATATATTATACTGGTATATGTGTCTCATGTATTTTTTTCTTTGTAGTGTCTACAGTTCACACACCTTAATATCTAAATTTGCAAAGAAAAGGTATGATAATCTTAATGTTGAAAAAAAAAAAAAATTAAATTTCTGTATCAAAAATGTACTATAATTTACAACAAAACAGATACAAAAATAAAAAATCACTCATCCCATCATAATCTCTTAATGCTGATTAAAACAATTCTCGCCGAACGGCTCTAAGAACAGCAAGGAACGATTATTTCAGTTATATTTCCTCTTGAGTTTAGATTCTGAACGACACTTGGCTGCTTAAACACAAGTTAATAAAATTAAAAGCATTATCGTATCATCCTCCATAATGCAGGCGCTATTTGCATCTTATACCATTGCGTTACCATTTTTGTTGCATTTTAAAGAGCTTCGTTATCAACCCCTCAGTGGAAAATTAAACCGCACAGAATGGAGCGATTAAGAAACGGGAATAGTTCGGCTTTGTCCCGACTGTGGAAAAGCGACTATACACTAGAATTTAAAGCTTTAAATTTAAAGGAATTTAAAGGGTCAGTAAGATTTTGGTCAGTAAAAAGAAAATGTATACTTTTATTCAGCAAGGGCGCATTCAATTGATCAAAAGTGACAGCAAATGCATTTATAATGTTACAGAAGATTTGTATTTCAAATAGATGATGTTCTTTCAAATTTAATATTCATCCAAAAACCGTTTCCACAAAAATATTAAGGAGCACAATGTTTTCAACATTCGCAATATTTCTTAAACACCAAATCAGCATATGGTTTTAGGATGATTTCTGAAGGATCATGTGACCCTGAAGATTGTTCTTACATTAATAAATAAAAATTGTAAATATAAACGAATAGAACATTAAGTTATTTAAAATAGTAGTAATGATTCACAATAACATCTTTTAATGGACAAATGCAGCATTGGAGATCATAAAAGACTTCTTTCTTCTCTTGTGTGGCAGCTGTAGTGTGAACCAGCGTGCAAACGTCATCAGCTGTGTGACTCTCCATGACTCCCAGGACTCTGACTCCTCCACCAGCACCCCTCTCAGTCCCAAACGCCTTCCCAAGTCTCTAGCCATGGTCACACCCGCAGTGAAAACACAGCTCTGGGATGGAGCGTCAGGAGGTCTGAATATTAGGTTTTGATTCATTAACGGGGCCTTAATTCATTTCCCTTCTGTCCATTCATGATATGAGTGCTTCTTACACCAAAACCAATCATAATCAGTTTTAAATCTCCATTTTAGATTTAAACAGGCTTTTGTTATACTGTACCTTTTTATAAGTCAATGTGAAATGTGCATGTGATTAAGAACAAGTTGTCGAATATTGGATAGACATGGATATGCCGGTCATATGATAATGTTGTCATGCTTGTGACATCATAGCTGTGTAGATTTGATCCTTAAATATTATTTTCTTTGCTTCCAGAGAACAATGCTAATAGTTCTGGAAAATTAAAGAAAGGAACGGCCTCACAGTCCAGCGACCGGCATCAGAGAGCGGCATCAAACAGATCTCAGCCTCTCAACCTGAGCCAGGTACATCTGTACAGGTGCACTGCAAGACCATGTGACATGAGAATGGACGTTTTGTGGCTTCAAGTCTATATCTGTTAGCTTTGGTTTACTTTATCTACTACCAGTCAAACGCTTGGGGTCAGTAAGAAATCAGTACTTTTATTCAGGAAGGATGCGTCAAATTGATGAAGTGACAGTAAAAGACATTTTTTAATGTTACAAAAGATTACAATTTTAAATAAACATTCTGTTCATTAAAGAATCCTGAGAAAAATATAGCATGGTTTCCACAAAAATATTAAGCAGCACAACAGTTTTCAATATTGATAATAACTAAAACCTGTTTCTTGTGCAGCAAATCAACATATTAGAATGATTTTTGTAGCATCATGTGACACTTAAGACTGGAGTAATGATGCTGAAAACAGGAATAAATTCCAAATTGTAATATTTCACAATATTACTCTTTTTACTGTATTTCTGAAATGCAGCCTTGAGCAGAAGAGACTTGTTTCAAAAACGTAAAAAATGTCGTACTGACCCCAAACTTTTGAATGGTGTTGTGTTGTAAATGAGAGTATACAGATAAAATATATTTGCCCCAACTTCCTGTTTTAATAGGAGAAAACACACAAACACAAGACGAGAAACCAGGGTTTATTTGTAAGATCTCTCATTACGTTGTTTTTCCGCTTTTAATTCATGCGACAGGTGCAGCAATCAATGATGTCATCCCACGATCGTGCAGGGGGCGGATCCCTGAGACGCCAACCCACCTACCCTCCTACAGGCCCCTCCCACTCCTACAGGCTTCATGAAGCGTCACTCTTCGGCTCCGCCTCCAGCCTGTACGCGTACCCGGCATCTGCGGCCCTGGCCTCTGTGTCGCAGGCGGTGGACCAGATGCACAATTCAGCCGGTTCCTCCTGCTCCTCTTCCTCCGGCCGACACACACGCACCGCCGGGCCGTACTCGGCCTCTCTGAGCCTTCTGCAGAAGAACAGTGCCATGGGCGTCATGTGTCAGGCTTCGGCTCCGTACCAGCGGCCTGCGGCGTTTCCCCTCAGCCAGAGGAAACTCCACCAGTACCCGTACCTGTGAGGAGGACCATCTCAACGTGAGCTTTGATATGTGCTGGGGGGAAATGTCAGGATGGTGTCATGGATGTTCAAGTGGAAATGACATTTTTGATTATTTTACTCATTTTAGTGTTTTTTTTATACAGCATTTTTTTGGTCGATTGGATCACAAGTAGACAAGGGAGACACATTCCTGTTTACACCTGGTGTTTTAATGCGTCTCTTTTGTCCACTTTCAACCACTTGATTTCTTCAAGAGGAGGGTCTATGGGCAGGGAAAGATCTTTTGATCTAATGGACAAAATAAGCTCAGCAATTTACATATGAACGCGCCTGGAGACGACATAAAAATATACAGACACCAGAATGAACGAGTTCACAGTAACGTTCATCAGGCAGTAATACAGTACGTTCAGTTCACGTTCGCCCAAAATATGAACAATGAACGCGTTCAGGCACAACACTGGTTACATAGTATATATGTTGTTAGTGGTGAGAACTTTCACGTGTTTAAATACATCCGGCTATCATCCCCATGAACTTTAATGGTCCAGTGGCAGAACTTTTGCCAAGCGTGTCAGAGGTTCTGGGTTCTAATCCGTACTAGTTGTATAGTTTATTTTCCTCATCAAAACCGATTGTTTATTAGTGGTTGTATATCAACCACTTTCTCCGCAATGGATTGAAGCGCACGTCCGTGTGAAGAGCATTGTATCCGCGCCATTGAACGTTGGCAATGAGCACTTTAGTCACTTGATTTAAAAACAACACATTTCAGATCGCCTCTTATTTAAGGCCACCATTCAACCCGAAAGAAGCCGATAACCGTTTCAATAACTCAGAAGCTTTTCAGTTAAGCTAAAAAAACTGCATGTCCCTTTAAATCCTGTCTGACTAGCGCACTTCCTATAATGTTCACACATTAGACCAGTAGGCAGAGAGTTGGCGTCTTTAGTGGCTGTTCGAACACATTCATCCACATGAACATTTACACTACGAAAGCAATACTGTCGAATGTGTTTTTGACTACCGGAAGTGGTCAAAAGTGGACAACATCAAACCGGTTTAGACCCCGTTTACCTGTATTTAGCGTCATCCACTTAATACCAGGTGTAAACAAGGCCAAAATCTTCTCATGGCTGTGTTTGGAAGATCACGCTAGCATACTACTCATGTGTACAATGAGGAAATGACCTGCTAGATTTTATCCAAAGTGACTTATTTAATTGGACTGGCAAAAAGACATTTTTAAAAATGCAATTTTCTTAGTGAAAAGATTAATATATGAATTGTGTGTGATGAAAATATCACATTTCCCAACCTAATTCTTAATACCATGAAAATTTTGTTTTGCATACTATTAAAAGCGCAGTAGGCGGAATGCAGTAAGCTGTCCATATATAAAACTGTCTGAAAAAATGTTTATGATGTTTAAAAATAGGCAACATTTTTCAAAATAATGGAAATTTAGTTTATACTGTGATTCAGAGATTTATGTTTCTTAACAGTCTTTGGGACGTGTGTGTCAGCAGAAGCGATGTCTCCTAGAAAGATATTTATAAGGTTTCATTGACGTCTGCCCAATTATAATGTGTTGAAATGATACATGATAGTGATGTCACTCTGACAACACTAAAGCATTCTGTTGGCAGACCCAAATATTATATTTGGGATGGTTTCGTTTGCAACATATTTTTAAGTTGCAACAAGGCACAGGATGTCATCCTCACTGCTGTTTATTGGTGACGGGAACCTGAGTGTTAACCTGAACGGGACAAAACACCTGGAGAAATTTTATATATCTGAAATATATTCCTAGTTGAGGCTTGAAATAACCATAAGAACATGATTTAGTTTTTCTGCTTTCATATAATGTTTTTAACAAGTGAGATTTATTGCCATATCAAGTTGGTGACATGACCGCAGAGAGCTTTTAGTTACACACTACATAGTCAAGTTTTCAATGTAACTGTTGTCGTGCTTAATTTATTTATTCAATATGCGTGGATTATTAATGGATCTGTTCATATTTAACCTAATAATGATGCTCTTTCTTTTAAATCCTTGTAATTCTCTTCAACTTTGTATAATATAATGTATAATTTGTTGATTTTGAAAGTATCCTCTTAATCTACTAGCACTTATTTGATTCGTATTTTAAGTGTTTTATCCATAACATAAGACGACGTGAATTGTGACGACAGTTACTTGTTATTTGTTCTGTAATGTCTAAAAGATGAGGTTTGGGTGGAGTGTTGTCGTGTGGGAACTTGCCCTCGGCACACAGTGAAATAAGAGCGAGACCTCTCACAGATAACACTATTGAGATAGCGCTTAGACCGATGGGTAACATGTTAGCTGTTCATCTCAGTTGATCTTAGAGCACTTGATGTGTTGTGCTGAGCTCGTCTCGTGAATGTCGCCGGGGTTCTTGGCTTTGGTGCAATGATGGCTGTTTGTACTGTTTAATCACCATGTGAAGTGAAGTGCAGAGTAGATGAAATCACAATAAACTTTGATCCAGAATACAGCGTGGACCTGATGAATCTGAGGTACAGTGTGTGGGAGCGATGAATGAACCGCTCGAGCTGCTTACTACACTCATAGCTGCGGGTTTATTTTTATAATCTCTCTAAGGGGAATTTATTCTGGTGATGATCCATTGTCACTGCCATTTTTAGAGGCAGTTTGGCTTTTTGTCCCTCTGGCACTGTAGGAAATTATGCTTTACCGACAGGTTGGGACTTGGTCTGTCCTGTGTGAATAAAATAGTGTGTATACGTATATGCCTAATGGGTGTGTGTGTCTATATATGTATGTCAATATTTGTAGTTATTGGATACATTTTTTAAATCATTCAAATTCCTCGAATTTATTCTTTTAGACCAATTTGTGAATCAGTTTGACCAATTTATCAACAACCAGGTATTTGCTGAATAAAACGTTTTAGTGTATTTAAGGCCAATATTTAACCAAGCATTACTTAAAAAATAAATATATTTACTGTATGTATTTTACGGAAGCGTATTGCATTCACTTGAGGAAACAAAATCTACTGTTTTTCTGAATTAACGAGTTAATTATCTCAGAATTACGAGAATTTTTCATGGAAAAAAGTTTTTGCTCTGTTTTTCTGAATTAACAAGTTAATTATCTCAGAATTACGAGATAATTTTTCATGTAAAAAAATTTTTGCTCTGTTTTTCTGAATTAACGATTTAATTATCTCAGAATTACAAGATAATTTTTCATGGAAATAAAGTTTTTGCTCTGTTTTTCTGAATTAACAAGTTAATTATCTCAGAATTACGAGATAATTTTTCATGGAAATAAAGTTTTTGCTCTGTTTTTCTGAATTAACAAGTTAATTATCTCAGAATTACGAGATAATTTTTCATGTAAAAATTTTTTTGCTCTGTTTTTCTGAATTAACGATTTAATTATCTCAGAATTACTAGATAATTTTTCATGGAAAAAAGTTTTTGCTCTGTTTTTCTGAATTAACGAGTTAATTATCTCAGAATTACGAGATAATTTTTCATTCAGAAAAACTTTTTTCCATGAAAAACTATCTTGTAATTCTGAGATAATTAACTCGTTAATTCAGAAAAACAAGAGCAAAAACTTTTTTCCTAAACTCTTTAGACACTGGTGCTGCTGTCTTTGGATGTTTCAGTGGTGTGACATTGTGAGAGGACTCGCAGTGGGTTTCTGGCGTTGACACACATGTGCCAGGTGAACGCATGTAACAGATGCCCTCCCTGAAGCGCTGTGACCTCTGCAAGGGCCGCCCAATGATAGTGGCACCCAGGAGACCTCATGCTTGGAGCCTGGAGTGATAATCTATGAAGCACTAAAGCAAAGATGCGTCAGATCAAGGTCAAGACACAGTATGAGATTTGTTTGTTGGCTTCACAAGTGTTTTTACCCGAGAGGGTTGAAACTGCTAAACAGCTCAATATTGAGCCATGATCCATGAAAATATGTATAATAACAGAGAAATTGCACTACCAGTGTTTGTTAGGTAAAGTTGGGCAGGTCATTCCACCAGTCAAGGTGAAGCTCCGTGAAAGTGATTTTATGCCTTTTTGGGATGGCACCACAAGCCAGGACCAGGCAGTTCTAGCAATGTGGTCTGAAGTTAAATCACAACTCCAATGTTTCTGGTTTTCCTGGATGGAGTTATGGTTGACCAGCCTAGATGAATAAAGAAGTTGTGAGGAAGTGTTGAGTTGGCTGAGACCACAAGTAGTTTTGTCTTTGCGAGGTTGAGTTAAAGATGGCAGTCCTTCATCCAGCAAGAAATGTCTGTCGGGCAGGCTGAGATGTGAACAGCTACCGACGAAACCTCTAGTTAGAATGAGAGGTAGAGTTGTGTGTTATCAGTATAGCAGTGGTAGGAAAAAACATGTTTCTGAATGACAGATCCTAGTGATGACATAGATGGAGAAGAGAAGTGGTCCAAGCACTGAGCCACCCCAATAGCTAGATGTTGCGACTTATGGCGCTTTTCCACTACACAGTACCAGTTTGACTCAGCTCGGCTCGCCTTTGTTTGGTTTTCCACAGTGTTGGGTAAGTTACTCTAAAAAGTAATTAATTTCTAGTTACTACCCAGATAGCAGACTGACATTGAATCAACGTGGAAATATGACATCGAAACAACGTTGATCTGACATTGTTTTGCTCATCGAATTAACGTTGAACCAACGTCAGACGCGTCATTCTTTCAAAACTAACGGAAAATCAACTTGAAATCAACGCGTTGTTTCAACGTTATGAAAGCAAACCAATTTTCGATTTCATTTAGCTTTGAAGAATGCCGCGTCTGACGTTGGTTCAACGTTAATTCGATGAGCAAATCAACGTTGTTTCAATGTCATGAGAGACGTCGTTTCCACGTTGATTCAATGTCAGTTTGCTATCTGGGTAATTACCTCTTCAACAATGTAATTACATTACTGTACTAATTACTCTCTTTAAAAAGTATTTACATACATTTAATTACTAATAACTTTCAAAATCCCACATCAATCTCAACCAGGCCAGCTGAATAATACAAGGATAGACATGAATCTGTTTAAATTCATTTAAATAAATTCTATAAAATTGCATGAATTATCCTTAAACTGACCAAGGTGGCGAAGGTTACATTATAAAAACACTTTTTTAACATCAGACAATACATTTTGATGTTAAACCCACTATTGTTTTATGTCTGATCTCAAGACATTTCACACTTTTTTTCATACATATTTTACAATAATTTATACGAATTTGTACGAGTGCGGTCGTACAATTTAGACACCTCATGAAATGCATACGAATCGCTGTGAGATCGGATTGATTTATTTACCTCAATTACATCAGAAGTAACTGTAATTAAATAACAGATAAATGAAGAGTAATCCCTTACTTTACATTTTCAAGGGGAAAGTAATTAAATTACAGTAACTAATTACTTAGTAATTATTAGTTACACCCAACACTGGTTTTCCACTGTGTAAAAGTTTCGCTGACGAGGTTCTGAGCGAAACTAAAATGTCACGTGAAAACAATGCCGCCTGCTGATTGGTCAGAGAGAATCGTCACCATTCACTGCGTCCTCATTACACGAGCCAGATTGAGTATCCAGAATAACCCCGCTATTTTCAAATAGTTTGACCAGAGATAGTTACTAAACTAACTACTGCTATTATTATGGCAACTTGGAAGAATACGCCGGGGTCAAACGAGGAGGTGCAGACTTTCCTTTGTTTGGTGGCCGAAGAGAGGATCCAGCGAGAGCTTGATAGGGCAACGAGGAACGAAAGGCGTCGCTATGACAACTAGATATCTATGATGACAACCAATTTGTGGCGGTACTCTCTGCAATGGATGGAAAACTGAACAAAAAGCGAGCTGAGTCAAGCCGAGGCGAGTCGAGCTGGTACTGGTAATGGAAAAGCGCCATTAGACACCTCACCCTTCCACGGCACTCTGAAGGACCTACCTGAGAGGTAAGACTTCAACCACTGGAGTTGCTTTTTCCAGTCTCAGAGCTTCAATAACCGAGAGCAGGGTAGTCCCAGTTGAGTGGTGGCTTTTCAAACCAGACTGGTTGTTCTCCAGGTGGTTGTTTTGTGTAAGAAAGGAAGACGCTTGGTTGGTTGTGTGGATTCCTATTGAAATGACTGGATTTTACTTGAAAAATTCACAGAACAGTGTAAATGTGACCACCTTTACACTGAAAAAACAAAATTCCTTGTTAAAGGAAACTTCCGGGTTCAATATGTTAAGTCTAATTAATTGACGCAATGTTCTGCATAATGTTGATTTTTTGAAGATTTTTGTGGTAATCAACATAATGCAACACTTTAAAGTAAGCATGAAATAGGCTAGAAGTTGTGTTTTCTTCCCTATTATAATCCAGTGAAAAGGCTTCTCTGAGCTTGATTTTGTCCATGGGGAATTGATTGGATGGTTGTGGTTTGCTATTGGTGGAACTCATGTGAGTGACAGGTTGCCCCGCCCTCACCCCAGTAAAGATTATGTGGGCACATTCATTTTTTTTTTTTTTTTTTTAAATAATACAATAATCAACATTACGAAACACATTTTGTCTCCTGGAATTTCTTTTAAGAGGTAAGTTTTGAGTTTCTAACCGCGTTTTTAAATAAATCACACAATTATATTCTTTTGAATCCTCCAAAAAAGGTCTGCATTTACCTCCATTGTTGCTGTTTGTTATTCAGAAGTGGTAATTAACATGACAAATTGTGTTCGTGCTCAAATCATTGCATTTTGAAAACTAAGGCTAATCAAACGTCCTTTCAAATCAAAGTGCATTTAGCAGTGTTACTTGTGCGTTATGATAAAAATGATTGTAATTCACTGGTGTTCATATTCAAATGAAAGCTCTGTATGCGAACCCTGCAAACAAAAAAGTAGTGTACTGTAGGTGTGTGTCTGTAAGAGGAACCCACTTAAACAAACAAAAGCCTTTGTGTGATGATGCATTTCACAAACAGCAGATGAATAGTAGTGTTTATTCAAACGAGCACCATTCTGAATAAAACAAATTCATCATGTCCATGTGTCGAGGAGGCATAAAACTCTACCCTCATGCAAAGGTCACTGTAAAATGTACAGGTATCTTTATTGCAGAGAAGATCAAATTCTTTTAAATGTTTACGTCTTTTTATTCTCTGTATAATCTTATTATGTCTTATTGCACCCTCCCCTTTGATATATTTTAGTATGCAACAATTCGTATATCTCGTTTCCCTGGTTATTGTGTCGTGATCGTTTGGTTATGGTTGGCTTTCTTGCTGCGTCAGAAGCATCCGTAAACATCATTTACAATAGGTCCATATGAGTCGCCATATACATCACATGTCGGTGTCACTTCATGTACCATTCTCCCTTTAGAAAATCAAAAAGTTTTAAAAACCGCATCGATAAAAAAACAACACCAGCGAGGAAATCGAACTAAAAATGCAATAGTGTGCTAGATCATGAGAGTCTCGCCAATAGAAACTCCAGGAATTAATGGCGCCAATGTCTTACGCATTGTTCGTCGCGCTCCTGTCCGTTTAAAAAGTCGAAGTGAGGCGTAATGCAAGGAGAAATCCTGGCATCGCGAAACTGTCTTTTCCAGGAAAAGGCGCTTGGAGCCTGAAACGCGGTGGCATCTTTTTTTTTTCCGACCTCATACGGTCGTGACCCGCATAACCACCTCGCGGTTGGTGGCGGTGCCGAGCCGCGGGTCGCTGGGCCGCAGTTGACTGAGGATGTGGAGGATGGTGTATCCGCAGTGGTGGTTGAGGATAGTCCTTAACCTGCGCACTCGCTGGCCCCCCCTGCTGCCGCTGGCCAGGCCGTGCGTGTTGCTGCGGGAGCCGCGGTTGCCTGCCTTACTGCTGGAGCTCAGCGGGTCTCCCAAGTCCTTCGCCTTCTCATAGTTCAATACTTTCCACTGCTGGTTTACAGCTTGCCATCGCTTGAAGATTCTGTACACGGATGAGCCCTCGTGGATTATAAGGCCTGTTGGGAATTATAGATCAGGGGATGTTACTTATTGATTCACCAACACTTTACAAAAAGGTTCAATTGTTTTGGCTACATGAGAAGATGCACTAGGTACCATGAACTAACAAAGAACAGGATTTCTAACAACATTTATTCATCTAGGACTAGGTTAATATTATTATTATTATTATTATATTATGTGTCACATAAATTAACCTGACTTATTGATAATATATTAATATTATTGTAGTATATATAAATTAAAATATAAAAAGTATAATTTTTCTATTTTTAATATTAAAAATACAAATTCATTTTATTTTATATGCATTGTATTTTACATAGTAACATTACATAATTGAAAAAAAATATTATTAAAATTATGTTTATAGAAATTAAAGATATATTACAATAATCTGTAAATTATCATTTATATTATTTATTTTGAAAATATTTAATTTAATAGTTTTCTATTGTTATTTAATTTAATTGTTTTGTGTTCATTCACAATATACTCAAACTTATTATTTTGTAATATTAACATATTAAAATGTAGCTATTAGTGTAAGTAGAAATTAGCACCAATCCAAGATGAATAAATGCTTAAAAGTTCAAGAACCTAATGCTTTGCTATATTAAAATTATAATAAATGATAAATACATATATAATTGTGCATATAAAATTATATGAACATAATCTTAAATAATATAAAAACAATTTTACATAATATATTGCATAAATTGACAGGTATCATCAGTTCATGTATTGTTTATACAATATTATATTTATACTATTTATTGTTCACAAAATACATATTGTTTCATTGTAATGTTAAAATATACCAACATATGTAGAAATTAACATAACCATCTAAACATGGTAACCAACTATCATTCATTTTTAGTATAAGATACCTAATGCATTAACTACTGTTAGCAAACCTTATCGTAAAGAGTTCCCATAATTTTCCCAAAACAAATTTAGATTTAAACATATCCAATCATACGCATATGCAAATGTGTGTATATCAGTCTATAGTTAGTCTATATATAGCAAGTCAAAGAGAGGCCCTAAACGTTATAAAAACTAACGTCTGTTTGCACTGATTTCTCCATGTGGTTGTATTCCTCACCTATGCACACGATGTCCATGAAGCCGTACATGCCGTAGCAGATCTGGAAGAGCAGGTCCTGGCGCTGCCACTTGGCGGACGGGCTGAGAGAAGACCACACCAGCCACGAGATACTGGCGATGAGGAAGAGTGAGCCCAGGATAATGGCGGCAATCTGCACCTTCTCGATCACCGTCAGGGAAATCGCCTGCCACTGAAACACACAACATAAAAAAAAACTCTATAAGATGGCATTTGCTTGCTTTGCTTGTAGAAGCCTATAAATAGAGGTGCTAGCCGGTGCTTAGCCCTGACCCAGATACGTCACAAACTTTACCTGCAGCGGGTTCTTGGTGCTGATGGCCAGGACTTGGTACTTGAAGTAGCAGAGCTCACAGCTCCAGGATCCTCTCTCACTGATCCAGCGGATGAGGCAGGGCTGGTGTGTGCAGCGCACGGAGCCGTCGCAGCGGCATGGGCTCAACAGCTCCCCCTGCAGGCATGAGTGAACACAGTCAAAACATGCTACTCTCTAGCCTGGGTGTCCCCATACTACTTTGCCGCAGCACGATTTTATTCACGCTGCTAGGTAGTCTGGCGACCCCATTGATTTGAAGCCCGTTTAAAGCTGATAGCCAGGCGTACACGTGAGCAACCTGTATGTCTTCTAGTAGTTGTGCCGAGTGAAATCTGAATAAGTCCCGTCTGAATCTCACAGAGATGGAGAGAGTGAGTATTAGCTGTCCATGAGCTAGCAGCAGGATCGTCTCTCTATGGGCTTCTCCCTCGACTTTATCGGACTTTATGCCTCCACGTCCCCCCGATTGCTCGCAAGCTTCTCCTCCTGTCTATACGGTAATTTCTCTATTGTGAGACAGAGAGTCGATTTGTTATGAAACCATCTTAAGCCTAATTATACATTAGCCTTTTATACACTTTCGTGTTTCTTTAGAAATAAATAATGGACAAATGGAGTCTTTGGACGCCTCAGATGTAAAGTTATTTGCTGTCAAAGTGACGGCAAAATGAATGGGAGTCAATGGGATGCTAACAGCTACAATGGCGGCTCCCGCGAGGCTTCAACATCCGGCTGATGGATTACCCCCTTGGTCTGGATACCATGGACCAAATTTTTGCCTCAGTGACGGGACCAATCACAGAACAGGGAGGGAGCAGCAAGACCATGACGACGTCTATGCGACACACTGAAGCAGTTTGTTTATAGCTATGGATCAAACATGGCAGCAGATTGAAGTTACCTTTCAATGCAGCCTTAGTAGTTTAGAACTCAAATAAATCTCTGAACCATAGTCTTCTTCCTCGCCTAATTTCTTTCACTCTACATGTATGTGCTATCTGGTATAATTGAAACGATTGGCTATGAGCTACGTACAGGCGCATTTGATAGACATTCGTAGCACCCGGGCATTCGTAAACACATCTGAAAGCCTCTATGGGTTTTACAGTCCTGACATCTGTTGCCTCCTAAAGCCGCAGAACCAACAATCCTCATGACTGGACTGCCCTCCAGGACAGTGCTGTGGTCCGGTTGATTTACGTAAATGAGATATTACTCATGAACCTGTCCGCCGTTACAAATGATAGATCGATCCCGGACACAGTGTGCATGCGGCTGCTGACGTGAGCTTTGGACTGCAGACTTATGAGCGTGTGGAGGATCTGAGGAGTGTGCAGTTAAAAGACGGGTGAGTTATTCTCTCCTCTACTGATCCAGACACTCAATCAATACACACCTCTGAAAGTCCTGCAGCTCCGGGATTGTCGGGGAAAAGCTTTTGAGAAATTTCATTGGGAAAGCTGCAGCTTTTGGAGACTGTCACTCTGGTGCATTCTGTGGTTGCTATGCGGTTGCTAGGCTGTTGTCAACAAAGGAAAAACTTGAAGCTTTCCCTGCAGTTTTCCGCCAACATAAAAGCTTGATGGTTTGAAAATGTATCAAATCCGCTATAAAAATGTTGTTATTATTAGTATTGTGTTTTCATTTGTATAATAAAAAATATTATTGTAATATTTCACTGTAAAATAAAATGGTGTATTTAGAGGGATAGTTCACCCTAAAACAAAAATTCTGTCATTAATTACTCGTTGTTCCAATGTTGTTCCAACCCCATAAGACTTTTGTTCATCTTCAAATTAAGATCTTTTTGGTTAAATCTGAGAGCTGGATCACTCCTCCATAGGTTTCTTAAAGCAACACTAAGTACGATTTTTTTACCTTTCAAAATCGTTGCAGTGGTTCACCAAGTCGTGACATGGTGAAATGCACTTATGCCACCGCTTTGCTGTCCTTTATCTGATATATCCACGCTACGCAAGATTGCCAGATCGGGTCACGTTTCTGTAGTCCGAATGAGACATAAGAAAACTACAAATTTGACTTGGTTTACGGCAAGCGTTACAATTGCCGATAGGTTGAGCGTACTCGGCAGAAGACTACAACTACATGCAAGATACCTAGCAGCCGGGCAGCTTTTGAATTGACATCATGATTCCAAAACCGGTGCTGGATAAACAGAGCATGTGCGTCCGTGCGCGTGCAACAGTAGGATGCGGCTGGTAGGCAAAATTATTTACGACAGCGGTAATGGACAATTCCGCTTCCAACCTGTAGGGCGACCGCAGAGGAAAAGTTACTTGGTGTTGCTTGTTTAAGTGATCAAAACTGGCCAGCTCAGAAAAGTTAAAGACATCGTTAAAATAGTCCGAGTGACTACAGTGGCTCAATCTTAAGTTTATCAAGCCATGAAGTTGGAGTTGACCAAACAAGCACAGCAAACCTGTAGCTTTTTAATTACATTTGTAATTTTTTTTATCAGAAAAACTTTTTTTTACCCAGACTTTGCAGCCCTAATGTGCAATTTGCAATGTTTTCTAGAATATTGATATCTAAGATTAGGGGTTTGTTCAAATCCTCAACCCAAAGTAGGAGCAAGAACCACTAATAATACAGCATCCAGACTCTGTCAGGTATGTTTAGCAAGAAGAAACCACTACATTACAGATGTAAGAGCAGCATTAAGAGATCTGCCAAGAGAACATTCAATAGATCCAATGTGAATAACAAGTGGAGGATGAAGAACAGGATGTCCAACTGTGGGCCAGAGATAAAGGAGAATAAGAATGATATAATCTTTAGAGAAAGACTGAATGGCTTCTGAAGTACTCAGGTACTGCGGCATAAAAGAAGAAAAAGGGGGAAAGCAATCTGTGGTCATTAATTGCATCGATTCTTTGACTGTGGTACCAGCGTGTCTAAATGCAATTTTGAGGTGTGACTAGAATGAGAACCACTTCAAGCTTGATAATCACTATTGATTCTTAGAAGAAACACAGATTTATAATGTGTTCATCTCAATTTGTCTGATAAACACAGAAGCGGGCCAGTAAAGAGATCAGGCTTTTATTCGGCACTGTTGAGTTCAGTCCCGTACGTGAAAAACAAACCGTTGGATTTACTGTGTCCACAACCAAAATCTGTAAAAAATATATATTTCATTTAAAGTTTATTATTATGAGTCAATTAAAATGTGTGCGTAGATATATTTAAATTTCATTAATTTTATTGTGGAAATAAATATTACGTTTGAACATTTTAAAGTTCACATAAAATTAATGCGAAATATTTAATTTATTGGTTCTCTTGCTTCCATTAAAGGTAGATTGTTTCGCCACCAGGGGTCGCTAACAATAACAAAGGCATATATTGATGATGTGTATTCCGCATTAAGCGGAATTATGGATCTTGTCGTCAAGCTGATGGATCTTTTATGGATGAGTGATGTTTTTAGCATGACTGTAGTATGAAGCAGGGCGCGATAGCTTGACGTATACCAGCGCCACACGTAACGCGAGCCCCGCGAATATAAAAGAACAAGGACATTTAATTCTACCGAACTACATGCTGAATTACTCGCACAGGTCAGTTTATTAGAGGAATTAAACTTGAGGTAACGCAGCGCTGCTTCACTTGCTCAAACAGTTGCACTATCACACTAAACGGCATTTGTGTGTGTTGAATGTTGTTAGTTAGGTTGTTTGTTGGCTCTATGAGACTAAGCTAGATTAACATGCAGATCATATTTTAACTTTTCATCATGTTGAACTACATAACATTGATTAGTTTTATATACATTGATTTGCTCACCTGTTTGCTCAAGTAACAAGCAACACTCGCGTCTCTGTCAAGTCGAAGTTAGTCGCGGACGTGGAGCTCTCGGCATCTTGAAAGATGTTGTTCTTCGCTTTAGTCCTCTTTTTGTCTCAAAGTCTGCTTGCCATGGTCCATAATGTTGAACAAAACCCTGCTAGGGACACTCACGCTGTTGAGCACGCATAACGGGCATAACCGACCCAGTCGTCCACGTCTGTCGCCATGGTTAATATTGCAGTACGATGTCAAACCTGGCGGAAACCGGGGGTAACGCGGATATGACGTCATTGACTGGCGACTCCTTGGTTAAAAATCGCAATTTTCTCACGATTTACAAATAGTTGGAAACATTTGCGATATTGTAAGTAATCAACTAAACAAAATATAAAACATTGGCCTAGTGGTTTTTGGATATTTTACAGCAAAAATCCTGCATATTGTACCTTTAAGGCACAATCATGCTGGAGAAAATGTTTGGATCATATTAATTTTGGCAATTCATATATTATTTTCTCAACCTTTCACTTATATTCGAATTCAAAATCTCCAGTTTTGCATCTAATTAAAGAATGCAAAAAGCATTTTCACCTACAGTATCCAGCAGTATCCCTCATGCACATTTCCCGTCAAGTTCTCCAGTATGTCGCCATCACGAGTCTGTCCAGTCTGATCAATGTGAGCGTTGCGATAAATGGACCTAGTCCTAGATGAGTCATTCTGCTTTATAGTACAGCCTGTCCTCTTGTTGGTTCAGTGTGTATCTAGCTGTTATCAGAGATCCCAGGCCAGATTTGGTTCAGCCAAAATCAAGCAGAAGCTCTCAGAACAACCAGCCTAACGTCTCTACATCTGTAAGCAGATTCTCTCCACATAGTAATCGTGAACAAAAAGCTTTGTTTCATGTGTGAAAAGAGACGGCAGCATCACGATCAGTGAGATATTATTCAAAATCCCTCTCAGCTTCATCTGATTAGAGCTGGTATCAAGCACAAACACATCAAAACAAATAATTTTACATGTTCCAGAAGCTCTGAGTAATGAGGACTGATATCATACATCCCCCTTTCACGTTTAAAGTAAGGAGGTCTATCATTCCTGGAGCTGTATGTTTGCATTATCATCCATCTATATAGCAGTGTGGCCATTCGAAACGTGACATCATTATGCAGTCGGGTCGTGAGCCAATCACCTTAGCCGTAAATGCTGACTAATCACTAAATAGAGATGTGACTTCAAAGGAGCAAACAAGGAAAAAATATTGTCAAATTTTAGATATATACGAGTTCATTTAAAGGTTTTAAGAACCTCCGAAATAGATTTAGGCACTGGTAAAATATCTACAATAATATAATGAAGCATTTTCATTTTGTGCAATGTAAAATAATATTCAGTATTTAACATGATTATTATGATATTGTTGTCATATGGATATATAATCGCACATTTTTGGCCAAATTGTGCAGCCCTATGAACAAGCACAGCAAACCGGGAGCTTTTTAGTGCATCTTTAATCACAATTTTATCTGAAAAATTGCAATTACATTTTTCCCCTTGAATCTTAAAGCCCTTAAAAGCACGGGTCATTTTCTAGAAAATTATCTTGGGCTGTGATGTCAAAGGAAAAATATCATATAAATATTGTTTATAAATTATTTAATAATTCATTTAATTTGTTAAGAATCTCCAAAAACAGAATTAGGCATATCTACAATAATATAGTGAAATATTTTAACACAATTAAAAATTCTGAAAAATAAATACACAGCTAATTTTGACTGGAGACTAATGCAGAATTATACTTTTAATTGTTTTAAATTTATTTTTTAATGTTTTGTTTTTTTTTGCAATGGACGTCAATGGGGTCCAATGTTGTTTTAGAGTACAATGTTCCCTAAAAATATTTTCTTTTTTTGTCTTGCACAAAGTCAAGTAGGTTTGGAACGACGTAAGTGTAAGTAAAGTACAGAATTGCCATTTTTGGTTGAACTTTCGCTTTAATTCTGCCAAATGGTGCAGTTATGACCATCTAAACAACAACACTGAATGGCAGACTCAAACAGACCCTGAAATCCTGACAGCGAACTCATTATGTCTTTATTCTAGTGGCTGTTTTTCTTCTGTCTGTCCGGCACTCTTAACAGCTCACTAAACAATCTACCTGAGAGGCAGGCTCACACTCAAATGCATCTCGCATTGAAAACAGACACCGAGGCTGACATAATCAGATGGACTGCCAGATGGATTGTGTTGGTAGATCACCAGCATCTCTCCATATTAGCTGATGTCTACGGCTAACTTGCGGCAGACGAGCTTTACAGGTTTCGCACATCTGTTGTTTCGCAGCTTGGCTGCTGACCAAACATCCATCCCGTGTTCCGCCTATACGATCCAAATACAAACGCACGCTGATTTATCCATGAGAATCTGATTACAGTCATACACACGTTCATCTCGTCGGATGACAAATCAAGCAGGGCATCCATCATGCGATATAAAACAGCGCTCATATAGGACCAACAGCTATTTTACTCCTAAACAACAACAACAAAAAAGATTTTAAGATGTAATTATTATTGTTTTTCCAAACATTTCAGGCTTTCAGACCATGTGAATCATGTGAACAACTGTCTTTGCATTGCAAATGAATCAGCCTCAGGCATTAACATCCACACCATGATCTATATTTCCACAAAGAGACGTCTATTGCTCATAAAAAAGCAATAGAGAGGTTAATTGTGTGGACATATTGAACCTGTAAATCGACACGCTCCAATGGTACCTGTATCCCTTCAAAAGAGAAATGCATTATTAGGTCACGTGTTTCGCCGGTGGTCTTTGTTCCGTGAGCTAAACATGTTGCCGATACTTCACCAACAATTTCTTGCAACTTTATATATGTTTGTATATTGTAAGCAAGCAATACTACAGAACAATAGTAAAATACACAATATTATGCATGATTTGTATTAATAAATGCATATTTGCATATATAGTTAAGCCGTGTTCCAGTTAAAGTTGTCTTGATAAAACTAATTATTTTTCAGTGTAGAATATTTTTTTTAATTATTATTATTGTAACCAATCATATTAAAGTGTTATGTCACACTTCATTTTAAGGTGTCTTTGATAATTATACATTCAAGTACTGAGTAATATTAAGTAAAACGTACTTAATATAGGGTTTGGTTTGGTTTAGTTGCATGTAATTATGCATAATTTACAGATTTTACTATTGCAACTGCATATAACGAACAATGGCACTGTAAAATAAAGTGTTACCAAGTGTTCATATAAGTGTATTTACATTTAAAAAAACTATATATTTTGGACAAGTGCATAATGCAAGGAGATATTTTAGAGTGCATACTTTGTTCTATTATAATAAAAATGAGGGTAACACTTAATTTTACAGTTGTTACACGCGTTACATGTAGTAAATGCATGCAACTAACCCTAAACCAAATCCAAATCCTAATCATAACCCTATATTAATGTAGTTATTTATTAGCACACAGGAATGCACATGGACACCTTAATATGTATCCATGTTACATAAATCATGTATAATTTACATGCAACAAAAACAAAACAGAATCTTAATCCTATAGTAAGTACGCATATTTACTTATTATCACACAGTGCTTAATTTCACTGTAACAAGGACGCCTTCAAATAAAGTGTAACCACAATGAGCAATGCTGATGAACAACAACATGCACTTGGATATGTGGTATAGGCTAATTCAGAGTAACAATAACAAGCAGCATGTGCAATATGGTGTAGCAACCACCCACATTTACATTTAAAATATCAAATATGGCCATTATAAACTAAAGCCCTTGTTATTGTGGGAATAAAGGTACCTGCTCGGGCCCTTGGAAGCAGATTCGACACTGGGGTGTCCTCATGCCGCTGGCCGTGCTGCTGGTGAGGCTGACCGCGTCCAGGCCCGCCTGCAGTTTCGGGTCTTTCTCCTCGAACGCCAGGCTCCTGGGCCTGGGGTCGCTCCCGTAGTATTCTTCCTCATCGTCGCGGCTGGAGCAGTCGACGAAGGGCGGCCATCCGCAGCCGCCCATCCCGAGCCCCCTCATTCTGTCCGAGCGTCTGTTCGGCTCTGCGTCACTGTCGGAGCGTCGAGAAGAACCGGATCGCATGAAAACCAGCACCTTCAGTTCGTTAAAAAACATGCGGATCCGGTTCTTGAACATGTTTGACTACATGTGTGTGTGTTATATGGCTGGAACGAAATGGTTTAATTGTTAACAGAAAAATAGTATTATATTATTGTTGTGTTCGTTATTTTTTAAATATTGTTATTATTGTGCATTATTGTTTTTTATTAGTATTGTTGATGTTATTGATTCGTGTAGGCCGATTATTAATATTTTATTCGGCAGAAATGCAGTTGCTACCCTAAAGCCTCAGAGGAAAGTGTCCAAACCAAAGGTAATTGGTCAGAAAAATCTCTGGGCTTGTTGTTTTCCGTCTGATGGCATGTATGTGCTTGTTGGGGCTTCTCTAAATGCCGTTACAATCATCACAGGTCGACAATAATAAGCCTATGGTATTGCCAGCAATGCATTGTTTCAGCTCTAGAGAGATGTAATTCTCATAAACTCCCAGCAACCCAAAGCCTGAATGCACGGATGAGAGACGAGGAAGATGCAAAATGGCATTTCAGAGCATCACTGCCACATACAGTCATCGTCGCGGATCTTTCAGCATAAAAGCATAATCCAAAAGAGCTGGAAGTTGGATTCATGTGCAATCCTACAGTTTTGTTTATTGTTCATCATGACAAAGCTTTCACATCATTTCCTTGTGCATCTCCCCATTGACATATTCCAACGCCTCCTGCTATCCCAAACACAGAGCTCAGAAGAATCCATTAGGTTGGTGTTTTAAAAAGAACTCTCATAATAATGGGAGTTTGGGCTGAGGAGCAGTGGGGAAATGCCAGCATCTCGTCTCCATTTGAAGTTCATCACCATCCCCCTCCTGGCCCGATGTGGTTCCTCGCCACGTCCACGTTCAAAGGAAGATGGAGCTTCCAGAAAGGGAAAAATAAAAGGCACCGTGCGCAGATTCGCCTATTTTCCTTCTTCGCAGGGTGTGATAGTCGCAGGTGGATCGTTATGTGATGGGGATGCTGATGCTGCTCCCCTCTGATTCATCCTCGAAATGGACGTTCTGCCGTGCGCATCAACACACGGCCCTTGTTTCCAAGGCGCGCTCTCGCCCAATCAAAATGATTCATTTACAAGCGTCTCGCTGCCGTGCGCGCTCCTGCTCGAGTCTCCCGTGGGAGAATCCAAGTGTGCTGATTTTTGACGGGCGCCGCTGTCCAAGGTGCTGATATCTAGCCGTGACGTTTCTCCTACGTGTCAAAGAGACGCGGGAACTATAATGAGCTTAGGCCTAATGGGTCATTTAATCCTGCTATGCAACACAAAGTGGAAGAATTTTTATTAGGATTAAACCATAATTGCTCCTATGTGCAACTTTATGGGAGATAAAAAAACCCTAACAAATATGACTTTTTTATATATATATGAAAGGGTCATTAAAAATGCAGGATTGACCCGTGACATAAAAATATGCTTTAGCTGAAGGGTCAACACTCTAATGCAGTTTATTGATTGAGATTCTTGTCAATTTTTGCCTTACCAGGGCAGCCCTAAAAATTGATCTTTCACACTCAGCCATTATATCTATTGCATACTGTGTTAAGCTATGACCTAGAAGAATGAAATGGCAATTGTTTCATTCATTACTGCTTACTTGATGTACTGATACAGATTTACAACTACTGTGATTCGTAAAGGGACATTTACAAATATCATAAATAGTCCTCTAACATAAATGTTTGTTTATATAATACATGTTAGTGGTGTCGAATCGATTAATCGTGATAAATCGCATCTAACATGAACGTTTGTTTATATATTTTATTTAGCCAGCAGCCATATCACCCTGTAGCCCAAGACTGGTTGCCCATTAAAGCTAAGCAGGGCTGAGCCTGGTTAGTACCTGGATGGGAGACCTTCTGAGAAAGCCAGGTTGCTGCTGGTAGAGGTGTTAGTGAGGCCAGCAGGGGGTGCTCACCCTGTGGTCTGTGTGGGTCCTAACGCCCCAGTAAAGTGATGGGGACACTATACTGTCAAAAGAGCACCGTCCTTCGGATGAGACGTTAAACCGAGGTCTTGACTCTCTGTGGTCACAAAAAAATCCCAGGATGTCTTTCGAAAGAGTAGGGGTGTAACCCCGGCATCCTGGCCAAATTTGCCCAGTAGCCTCTGTCCATCATGGCCTCCTAATCATCCCTATATACACCAATTGGCTTCCTCACTCTGTCTCTTCTCCACCATTAAGCTGGTGTGTGGTGAGCGTTCTGGCGCAATATGGCTGCCGTCGCATCATCCAGGTGGATGCTGCACATTGGTGGTGGTTGAGGAGATCCCCCCTTCTATGTGAAGCGCTTTGAGTGTCCAGAAAAGCGCTATATAAATGTAACGAATTATTATTATTATTATTATATAATATATTTATAATGTGTGTGTGTGTGTTTATGTATACACTCATCTAAAGGAATATTAGGAACACCATACTAACACTGTGTTTGACCCCCTTTCGGCTTCAGAACTGCCTTAATTCTACGTGGCATTGATTCAACAAGGTGCTGAAAGCATTCTTTAGAAATGTTGGCCCATATTGATAGGATAGCATCTTGCAGTTGATGGAGATTTGTGGGATGCACATCCAGGGGACGAAACTCCCGTTCCACCACATCCCAAAGATGCTCTATTGGGTTGAGATCTGGTGACTGTGGGGGCCATTTTAGTACAGTCAACTCATGGTCATGTTCAAGAAACCAATTTGAAATGATTCAAGCTTTGTGACGTGGTGCATTATCCTGCTGGAAGTAGCCATCAGAGGATGGGTACATGGTGGTCATAAAGGGATGGACATGGTCAGAAACAATGCTCAGGTAGGCCGTGGCATTTAAACAATGCCCAATTGGCACTAAGGGGCCTAAAGTGTGCCAAGAAAACATCCCCAACACCATTATACCACCACCACCAGCCTGCACAGTGGTAACAAGGCATGATGGATCCATGTTCTCATTCTGTTTACACCAAATTCTGACTCTACCATCTGAATGTCAACAGAAATCAAGTCTCAAAATTGCTTAAATCACCTTTCTTTCTCATTCTGACATTCAATTTGGAGTTCAGGAGATTGTCTAGACCAGGACCACACCCCTAAATGCATTGAAGCAACTGCTATGTGATTGGTTGATTAGATAATTGCATTAATGGGAAATTGAACAGGTGTTCCTAATAATCCTTTAGTTGAGTGTTTATACAAGAGATTGGTTTTATATATATTATATAGAACAAACTTTTATGTTAGACAGCCCTATCAAAATGTATTAAACATTATTAAACAGCTAAATATCAAACCAAGTTGCATTTATTTTTAAAGACAATGTTAAAGCACATGAACACTTAAACTTTATAATTAGTTTTTTTAAATTCTTAAAAAGTTTAAAATAAAAGGTTTAACTATGGAACATTTGATAAAAAAAGAAACTGACTTTATCTACTAAAAACTTGTCATCATTTACTCACCTTCATGTCGTTCCAACCTATATGACTTTCTTTTTTTTTTCTTTGTAACATAAAATACTTGTGGGGCTATACTGTACATAAACATTACATAACTTTGATTAATCCTCAGTTATAATGGACAGTGAGTCAGACTGAGCTGTCAAAGCTGTCCTCTCTGGCAGTGCAGATCAATCTCAAACAAATCAGCACAGGCATTTTGTTGATTTATTGTTATGGCATGACTATGCTGCACAGAGGCATATAGGGTGTCCGTTTTGCACATCAATAATTTAACTGGAACCAAGTGAGTGTACACACACACATTTTAAAACAGACAGACACGTCCAGGGAAATATTTATATGATAAAGTTTTAATACTGTGTTCTCACTCACTGGTGGAGACAAGAGACATTAAAGATGCAATGTGCAACTGATGGGCTTTCACAACTGAAATCATTTTATATATATATATATATATATGAATAGTTCAGATGCAAAAGCCTCTAAGTGCCATTTGAAATTTTCTTCTAGAATGATCATTTTTATCAAACTTGTATATTTAAGTTCAGTGATTTCACTTAAATGGCAATGATGATTACCTATTAATTGTTATTTAAGTGAAATTACTAAACTTAAATATACAAGTTTGATAAAAATCATCATTCAAGAAGAAAATTTCAAATGGCATTTAGAGGCTTTTGCATCTGAACTCTTCATATATATATATATATGATTACTTTTGCCTAGTGATGGCAAAATGAGGCTTCCTGAACCACTGAGACCTCGCAGCCCAAAGGTTCATTACGCGAAGCTTCATTCAGCATTGCTCACTAGTGACACCTTGCTAGTGTACAAAGAAGTACACTAGCTCTGCAAAGGTGGTCAGACTGACAGGTGGTCAGACTGGTTTGTGCATATGGACACTCATGGAAAGGAGGGAGCACTGGCACGTGTCCCAACCTAGAGCCTGAGTGTGCTGACAAGATAGGGGTTCGCTTTGCTGAGCATGACCTAAGGCCTTTTGACCGGAACTCAAGGAAACCAGACACCTTACAGTGCACATTTGACTAACATAAGCACCCAGCAGCACAGAATGACCAAAAAATAAGCAGTTACATTACCATAAAATATCAGATCAGCTGCATAAATTGTACATTTTTGCATATAATTCGAACACAAAACTCCAACTCTAAAAAATGCCCCGTTCTTCCATTTTAAATCCAGCTGACGTGCTTATGGTTTCAGCTGTGAAGCGTTCGATCTGTTTGTTGTGGCCACTGGCAACAATTATTGATGTGCTAGATCTCATTAGTGCAAATGAGGTGATAACTTGCAAATGATAAGATTCAAAGATTGAACAAGTACAGGAAGGCTTTGCATAGATGATACTGGAGACATTTATTTGACCTTTGTTTCTTCCCCCACCAGCGTTTTTGAAAGATTTTACATATTAGAGCAGTCTTTGCTTTTTTGATCATATATATAAAGGGTGTGCTGCTTTAGCTTTATGTTCCAGTGGGCACCACATGAGGGCAGTGCATTTTAAGATACAAAGACTTATAAACAGCCTTATAATGACTTCACCCATGATGTAAAAACAGAGCATGGGCACAATATAAATCAGCTGACACACAGCAGGACGTTTGTTGTTGACGCTGAGAGTTAAAGTGGAGTATTACACAAAGAAATCGTTTGTCTCTAAGAGATGTTGCAACGAGCAAATACCTTTACAGCAAACTAACAGTGTTTTGTCTCTCACCAGGGGAACATTTTGTAATATAACAACATGAAATATTTTTTCAGGCCCTGTATGAATCATTTTACACACTCGTCCTACTCAAGTTGCATAATCTATATATAACAGCTTAGTGTAAGTTGTTTGCAATAAAATAAGCAGCTTAACATTGAAAACAAGTGAATGATCTCACAGACTGAGCTGGAGACGGAAAAAAAGTATTTTTTTTGTCATAACGGATTATTAGTTGAGGAAATACAACGCTATAACTCTAATGCATATATGAACTTGATATGAACTGTAAACACCTGCTGTTTTTTCCTGCTCAAGTAAATGACAACAAATGGCAGTTTGCTTTGATATTCTAATCCAGTGGTTGTCAACTGATAGGTTGCAACCCATTTTTTGTTGGGGGGAGATAATACAAAATAATAACAAATAATTACAAATAATAAAATGTCACAATGCACATTAATCTTGTACAATTCAAATAAATGCAAAAGCATATCAATTTTTCAAATGGAGAAGAAACACGTCCCACGTTTTTTTGCAGTTGACATTAAAGGATGTGTCCCATCAAACTCAAATTCACTTTGTAGAAGACAAAAATACTTAAATTTCAGTCTTTAAACCATTATTAAAGAAAATCGATGAGTCAAACTGTAAAAAAATAATCCTGTAAAACAAAAACGGTAAACTACTGGCAGCTGTGGTTGATTCAACGCTTTAATATACTCACGGCAAAAGTATTTTTCGCTTACAAGTAAAGGTTTGGTATTATGTTGGGTTGCCAATTGGTCAATGTAAAATCACGGATTTGGAAGCAAAACTAGTTGAGAAACAACTCATGATGAATGCATGAAAAGAACAACTGCACAGGTTTTGATCTTAGAATATTTAATTGGAAAAGTCAGTTTCAAAAATACAAGGCAAATCCAGGGAAAAGGGTGCTTAC